CCATCACCGTCATCAGGTAAGTTGACACGTAAAGCGCCAGCATACGAACTATCTTGTACATCTGTGTGGGGCTCAGCTGGAACAGCAGGTTCAGGATCGATGTGGGACTCGCCACTGTCTGCATTAAGATTTTCAGGCACAGAACCATCGGGTAAATTCGCACCAGATTGCTCAGGGGGAGCGGCAGTATTTTCTTCAACAACCATATCTGCATTTTCAACTGGATCAGCGGGGCGAGAAGCCTCTTCTTCCAAAACTCGGTCATTCCAAGAACTTGAAGCCATAGCAAAATCAAAAAACGTTCCGAAACGGACTAAGCCGCACGGAAAAAAGAATCGCTTGCCTAAAGATTTAGGGCGGGGGGCGCGGCGTTCCCGCCCGGCCGGTACTTAGCACTGCCCCCACAAAAATAAAGAAAAAAGCCAAATACTAACAAAACGATCTTAGCCAAAAGGCCGAGAAGCGATGCCCCTTTAGGTCCTCCGGACCTAGGGTGGTTGGCTCCTTCCCCATCCTAGATATGGTGGTTGCAATACTGTCGCATCCCATGATGCATCTGGCACTCTATGCTCCTGGGGGCTGTTTCCCGGCAAGGTACTTAGCACCGTTCACAAACAAAAAACTAGCGAAACAAAACGTCACAAGGACGGGATACTAGCCTACGAACCACAATGAAGTGGCCCGCGTCAGGTAAGTTTTTTTGTATTTGAGGTGAATGGCCGGCCCCCAGTAGGGTGAGTGCAATGCCGCCAGACTTAAGGTCTAGTACCAATCACACATCAAACGGGGCAGTGCACCAGCACAGAAACTGACTGGGGGAATTGAACCCCCGCCCCTACAGACACAGTACAGGACAAAACAGAAACAAGACAAACGTATACAGGACAAAAGAACAAGTTAAAAGACGCGGGCACTGCCTAAAAGACTAAAACTAGAACACACTCACTCAATAAACACTCCAAAAAAGGAGGAAACTAAAAACTAAACTGAAACTAACTAACAGAATACTAAAAACGGACAAGAAGAGTCCGAAGACACACTCACTCAAGCACGAAAGGAACCCAGTGCAGCCAATGAAGGCGACCAAGAAACCAAAGACACACTCACTCAAGCAAAAGGAAACCCAGTGCAACCAATAAAGGCGACCAAGAAACCAAAGACACACCCACTCAAGCAGAGTCCTCTTAGTCACCGACGACTAAGAGGGACAAGACACACTCACTCAAGCAAAAGGAAACCCAGTGCAACCAACAAAGGCGACCAAGAAACCAAGAGACGCACTCACTCGAAGCAAAGAAAACTCTTAGCCACCGACGACTAAGAGAAACAAAGCACAGCAAAAACAGCTCAGGCTTAGAGACGACAGTAAAAAGACCCGTCGGACACCACACCGACAACACCGTTGGCACCCCACTGCCTGTGAAAGTAGCGCTGGCGCCTAGACGACTTAAACCTTTTAAAGAAAAGGACAAGATGGCACTTTGCTCGAGCCTTAATAACTTCCATCAAAGGAAGGGCCCCGGGGCGAACCTCGCGAAAGCGATAGTCGTTACGCGCCCTCCACAAGAAGTACTTGGCTAAATTCAGTAAATAGACAAAAACACGAGGGACCACAGCGAGCTCCGAGGCAGAGAAACCAAAAAGGACATGACGACACAACAAAGAGGGACACAAGGACGAGGTACGAAACATAAGAGACTGAATCCAGCCAAGGACACTCTGGGCAAGAGCACATTCAAAAAATAGGTGAGACGGAGTCTCTAGAGCGCCACAAAAGCAGTTAGGGTCGTAGTCATACCCAAAAGAAACCAAACGATCAGCGGTGTAGAGAACACCATGGGCAACCTGCCAGGCAACATCAATCACCGGTCTGTCTAAGGGACAGAAGCTGAGCTGCCTCCAGGTGGTAGGCCAGTACAACGAACCATACAGAGGAAGGAACTTTTCCTCGCAGTGCGGAGGGACAAAATTGACGGACAGCAAATACAAATAGGCGGATTTGGCAGACATAGAGGAGGCCAATGCAAACTGGTGGGGATCAGTCGAGGCCATCACCAAAGCCGAGCGAGACCGAGAGAAAGAGCCATCTACCGCACGCCACGCCAGTAACAGCGACTGATAGAACGGGGGCAAGGCGCGAGGACTGAAAGCAAAGGGGCGAGAGAAAACCTCCGTCGGAGAGGAATTGAACACAGAATGGAACCAGAATCCCAAGAAAACAGACCAGCTGGATTGGGCCTTCACAAAGCGTTTCACCCACTGAACAAGCAAAGACTGGACCTTCAACTTAACATCTACAACTGAGCAACCACCAACTGAAGGGGCCTGGACGACTACTACACGAGCAACAAGGTCTTTTTTGCCTTTCCAGAAAAATGAAAAGAGCAGCCTCAACAGTTCCCCCAAGACCCAGGGAGGCATGTGGATGAGAGAAGCGACATACCACACCCGAGAGAGGGCCAGAGCATTAATGACGAGCGCACGGCCACAAAAGGACAGGATACGCTGGCGCCAGGAAGAGAGCGTATTCTCGACCGCGGTGATACGAGGCTTCCAATTGACGTCATCGAGATTGCCTGGGCCAAGAAAGACCCCGAGAACCTTAATTTTGACGGACGACCAATCAAGAGTGACAGGCGGGTCAGAGCGGTTGGCCCAAGGCCCAAGCCAGAGACCCTTAGATTTAGACAGGTTAAGTTTAGAACCAGAGCCACGCTCATATACATCATAAACCTCAAAACAAGCATGGATGGCATCATCGGAACACACGACCAGCGATGTGTCGTCAGCGTACTGCGAAATCGGAGATAGGGGATCCGATGACCCGGGGAGACAAAGGCCTTTGATACGAGGATTGGCACGGATGTTGCAAGCTAACACTTCAGCCACAAGAACATACAGAAGCGGAGACAGAGGACAGCCTTGCCGGACACCACGAGAAAGAGAAAAGAAACGAGACAAGTAACCATTAACGTTGACAGAACTTTGCACACTAGTGTAGAAAAGATTAACCCATTTCAGGAAGGACGTGCCAAACCCCATTTTACGAAGAGTGGCATGCATGAAATTCCAATCCACCCTATCAAAGGCCTTTTCTTGGTCCAAAGACAAGATCACGACCGGAGCATCAAAAGTAGTGGCATACGAAACAACATCGCGAAGGAAAGCAACGTTCTCCCCGATGTACCTGCCAGGGACCCCACAAGTTTGATCTTTTGCGACTATCAGATGGATGACTTTTAGAAGCCTGGCAGCGACGGCACGCGCAGCTAATTTATAGTCCACATTAAGAAGTGATATGGGACGCCAGTTCCGCATATCAAGACGATCACCCTTCTTAAATGACAAAGAAATGACGCCCCGCCGCTGAGAAAGAGTCAGGGAACCAGCCCCGTAACAAGAATTAAGAACTTCAACAAGATCTTGCCCTAAAACACTCCAGAACTTGAGATAGAACTCGGCCGGAAGGCCATCCAGACCTGGAGCCTTCCGCCTGGCCATACCAGTCAAAGCTTCAAAACATTCTTCTACCGACAGCAAGCCTTCACAAGAATCCGACTGATCAGACGGGAGAGACGACTCGACATTGTTAAGAAGAGACTCTTGAGCGACATCATCAATGAGTTCAGCCGAAAAGAGAGATGAGTAGAAAGACGCAAACGACTGACAAAGGTCGTCAGGGGACGAAACTATCGCACCAACATCATTCCGCACAGCGGCAATCCAGCGATCAGCACCTCGTTTTTTCTCTAAGCGGAAAAAGTAAGCACTGGAGCACTCGCCCTCCTCAATCCAGCGTGCTCGGGCTCGTACCTGGGCACCCTTGGCAACTTCTACATCCAAGTCAGCCAACTGCTGAAGCACCGATTGGTAAACCCCAACCAAAGAAAGATGGCCATTGTCGACCCGCTCCTTAAGGTGGGCAGAAAGCCGGGAAAGGAGATCCCTCCTAACAGAAGAAGCAGACGATTTGGAACAGCAGTACCGAATAGATAGGCCCTTAATACGGGACTTGCCCTCCTCCCACCATTTGCCAAGAGAAGGAAACTGAGACTTCCGACCACGCCAGTTAGACCAAAACTCCCCGACCTGGCGAACGTATTCCTCCTCCTCCAGAATAGAGATATTCAGCTTCCACAGGCCAGGACCCGGAGGAACAACATCTGGCACAGTTACACGTAACAGGACAGCACAATGATCAGAGTAGGGACACGGGAGAATATCACATGACGAGACAGAAGGGACCCACACATACGGACAGCCAATAAGGTCAATACGAGAAGAAACTGAACCATCTGAGCTCATCCAGGTAAAACCTGAGGATGAAGGATGAAAGTAACGCCAGGTGTCAATGACACAACACGCATCAAACAGATGTGAAAGAGTAGAGGAACTCTCTCTCGAGGTATCAGAAGCGTTCGACCCGGCACGATCGAGCGAGCGGTCAAATACCGTATTGAAGTCACCACACAAGACAGTAGGGACCGAAGGGTCGACCCAGGTGGAGACCTGCTCAAGAAACTGGTCCCTTGCAGGATTGCGGTTTGGCGCGTAAAGAGAAACGACACGAAACGATTTATCCTGGAGACAAAACTCACACGACACAAAACGGCCATCATCATCAGACGAGAAATCGACAAGCGACAAAGAGGGACGAAAGAGAATGATACAACCACAAGATTTTTGAGAACCAGGAGACACAACAGATTGAAAACCAGAAGAACGAAACCAAGACTGACACTCAACACCACTCACACAATGTGCCTCCTGAAGACACACCACATCAGGGACTACCGCAAGGGATCGCAACCACAGCAAGAGACCTGCACGTCTGTCAGAATTTCGAATACCGTTAACGTTTAATGAAATAATTTGCACCGCCATTATAGTTGGTAAAGCAAACATTACTTTTTAGAGCCTTTGGAGCCGCCAGGACCCCTAGGGGGCCTTGGCTCATACCCAACACCAGAAGGTAAAGGATGTTTGCCACTCGAGGCAGAACGACTAGCTGAGGGCGAACGCCCCGAGGGCGAGCGACTGCGACTGCGGTCGCGACCATGATCAGCAACTGGGACGGGCCTGGATTTGCCCGAGGAGACAACGACTGGAGGTTTCTTTTTAGGAGGACGAGGGGCAGGCTTAGCAGGCACAGAAAAGTGATCACTGTCAACAGTGTCCTCAGATGAATCAGGGTAAGCACGTTTTTGGGACTCAACCGCCAAATCCATCTCGCTGTCCGACCGCCCAGCGAGAATACCCTGACCAATGTACTCAGCAATTTGACCATCATCCAATAAATTTTGAGAGGAATCATTATTACTAATTACACTTTCATTATTAATATTTCCATTATTAAGACTAATATCACTTTCATTTGTACTAATTACTTTTCCTTTAACATTATGTGCATTTCCATTACTAGGACTAATATCACTATCATATGTATTAATGACTTTCTCTTTATGCTCTTTCTTTTTATTTAAACCAACTTTGGTTTTAAGTTTATTTAATAACCCAGTGCTACCTTCCTTGGCAGCACCATCAACATTAGATAAACTACTAACAGGGGTATCCCGAGGAGCGGGGGAAATAAGACCAGAGTCAACGGTTGCCCCATCCAGGGAGTCAAAGTCAGAACTGGAGGGGGCAGAGGAAAAAAGGACAGGTTGGCTCGAAAGCTCATCCAACTGGTTATCACGATGGTCAAAAGATAACGACGCAGATGGAGTGGCATCCACGACCGGAGTACCAGCAGCAGAGTCGAACGTTGCCCCATCTAAGGAGTCTGGCTCTGAAAGAGCCCGAGACGTTGGCAGGGCAGCATCAGGATCACCATCAGCAAGAGGACCAGCAGCGCGATCGGTATCGGCAACAGGAGCACGGTTAGCATCCGAGGCAGCATCAGTGACACTAGAACGACCAGCAGCTTCCGCGGGGGTTGGATCGGCACCATCAGACGTATGAGACGCAGCATCACCGGTTCGAGCCCACGGTCTGGGACAGGCCCTCGCAAAATGACCCTCCTCGCCGCAACGCCTACACTTCCCCTTAAGGTCACAATCGGTGACTCTATGGGGACCACGACAAATATCACAACACAGGGGTTGATCCCTGTACCAAACCTTAACCCTCAGTTTTCCCACTTGAAGGGTCCGGGGAATGTGATGGTTGAGAATAACATCCAACAAAATGGTACCAGTATTGATCTCGGGTATATTGGTCCAGTGTTGGAACCGCGTACGTTTAACCTCCCCAAATGGGGAAAGGACCTTAAAAAGGGGGTCTAAATTATCCTCAAACGGGTAGTAGTGAACCTGAACCTGGGTAAGACGTTTAGCATGGTTCAGAACCCGACAATCTACACCCCCAACATTACAAATATCCCTACTACAAAGATCGTGTTTAACCCCAGAAGACTCAAAGGTCACCTTACACACCCTACCGGGGACAATTTGGATAGCAGAAATGACATGCTCCTCGCTAAACCGGTCAAAAAAAGTCTGGGCAATCTCTTCCCGCTCCATATTGGGCCGAAAATCCCGTAGGTCGAATACAACAGTTCGAGAACCCATAGCGAACACAAAAAGGAAAGAAAAAAGAAAAGAGAAAACCTGCCGGACAGAGCCGGCAGGCGAGGAAAAACTTAAGCCCTGATGGGCCGGGCACAAAAAGAAGAGGGCGCCCCCCAAAAAGTAAGTAGCAAAAACTTACAAGTAGAAGCGTGTCAAAACAGCTGTACTACCAAAGTAGAGGCACAGGGAAAACCACGTACAAAACAGGAGTCGGTAGTCACACACCGCCTGCCACGGACGTGGCGACACTCACCAAGGCCAGTTCTCCAACGACGAAATCGTACCACAATGGTAGAGTTTCCGCGTCGCGACTTGGAGCGTTAGGTAAGTATGAAAAGCTAGGACCAACGGCCGGCAGCGGAAAAACTGCTTTCCTCTTAGGGCCCTTGTGGTAACTGCGCAAGTCCAGACGGCCACAGGACTCCAGTTATGTGACCGACGGCTCGCCTAAATAGAAGCCTGACGCGGGGGACACCAGTGAGCCACAGGGTACCCAGATGTTGAAAAAAACAAGCACAGGAAAAAAATATAGAAATATATGTCTCTTATTAATTGAATATTTCTTCCCCAAGGGGAAGTGGGCCGCACTCGGAGGTAGTGCTATACCGAGGCAACCCGTGGCTGGGACGAGGCAAGCCTCCTTTCCACAGCCCAATTCCAAAAATCAGTTTAATATTTTTTTGTATTTAAGGTGAGTGGCCGCCCCCCAGTAGGGTGAGTGCAATGGCGCCAAACAAACAAACACTAGCAAAGCTAGAAAACAACAAACAAAACGGTATGGAGGGGGAACCAGTCCACCAAACTCGCCGAGGTGTCGAACCTCGCCCACCAGCAGACAAAACGAAGAAACGCGGCAACTTAACAACAGCTAAAACAGGAGGCAGTCAGGAACGATGTGAAGGGAACAGTTCACTTGGAAGACTTGGGAAACTCCAATGGGGTACCAGCAGGCAGAGTCGTGGTACGAGGAGCACGAGTAGACGCTTTCACATAATCACACAGGTAAGGACGATCGACGTTATGGTGGACATACTTGACGAAACGGTCATACTCGAAAGTGGTAGACTCGATTTCAATCGAACGGGTGAGACGACCAAAGTCAAAATAAACAGCAGCACCAGTACAGTCTTTAACGACATAGCCACGACCAGTGTCACGAGTAGCCTTCCAGAAAGTAGGAGGAGACTCAGCGACAGGGGCGGACGCGACAGGAGTGGACTTGGCAGGAACGGAGGTGGACTTGGCAGGGGAAGAGGCCACGGCAGGTTGAGAAGGTCGAGGCTTCTTCTTCCTAGGTTTGGAGACAGAAGACTTTACAGCAGGGACGGAAACAGGATCAGGAACAACCACGGCAGAGGCAGACACAGGCGTACCGGGAACAGGATCAGGAACAACGGGATCAGGAGCAGGAACAACCACGGCAGAGGCAGACACAGGCGTACCGGGAACAGGATCAGGAACAACGGGATCAGGGTCAGGAACAACCACGGCAGAGGCAGACTCAGGCGTACCGGGAACGGTGGAGGCGGACTCAGACACAGGAGACAGCTCGTTGTCTCGGAGGTCGACAGAAGACTCATCAGAAGGAAGCACAGGCGGAGCATGACGCTTCCGGGCACGCGCAGCCAGGACAGAGGTAGGAACGGAACGGAGGACTTCCTCATCCCCGGAGCAAGAACCAGACTCTGAGGCAGAGGAAAGAACATAATCCGGGTCATCCTCATCCTCATCCTCGGACATGGCGGGATCGACGCCGGCAACAGGATCAGGAACAGTAGGAGCAACGGACGTACGGCGGAAGGAACACTCACGAGCCATGTGCCCCGGCTGACTGCAGCGACGACACAGCCCGTTGAAAGGACAGTCTTTAACACGATGACCGTAGGAACGGCAGACGGGGCAGACTTGAGGTTGGCCTTGATACCAAAGCCGGACGTCGAAACCAGAGACACGAACAGAGGATGGAAGGTCCTTGGTCAGGGTAACTTTAACCACACGCGTACCAGTGGAGACATCGGGCATACGAGGGTAGGTCTGCATCGCACACGAGTGGACCACCCCAAAAGCCCGCAAGAAAACTTTTAGACCGTCATCGGGGACCTCGACAGGCAGGTCCCGCACATAGACCAACCGAGTACGGGAGTCGACAGGAGTGATGCGGAGCGGAGCACCACGAAAACGGATACCACTCGCGAGGGCAGCATCGCACTGGGCGGGTTCCTTGTACGTCACCCGGACAACACCATTGGGCATAAACTGTATACCACGGACATTGGGTAGGTCTAAAGACTTGGCCAACTCCGGCAGAACTTGGGAAGAACCAGTGGAGCGGTAGATCTCCGACGGGAAATGCACCGCCAACGTGCGCGGGCATTGCAAAACAGAAGCCATAACAGGCAAAAAAGTCCCAAGTGGTAAGCGCCCAAGTTAAGCCCTGAAACACAGGGAACAAAACGGGCTGGGCGCCCCACAAAACAGGACAAAAAAGACGTACCACAAACTAGTGAACCTGGCGTTCCCTGGGGGCTGTTTCCCGGCAGGTACTTAGCACCGTTTCACAAAAAAACAACTAACACAATCACAAACGCGTCACCAAGGACGAGATACTATCCAGCGTTCCACAATGGAGTGGCCCGCGTCAGGTAAGTATGAAAAGCTAGGACCAACGGCCGGCAGCGGAAAAACTGCTTTCCTCTTAGGGCCCTTGTGGTAACTGCGCAAGTCCAGACGGCCACAGGACTCCAGTTATGTGACCGACGGCTCGCCTAAATAGAAGCCTGACGCGGGGGACACCAGTGAGCCACAGGGTACCCAGATGTTGAAAAAAACAAGCACAGGAAAAAAATATAGAAATATATGTCTCTTATTAATTGAATATTTCTTCCCCAAGGGGAAGTGGGCCGCACTCGGAGGTAGTGCTATACCGAGGCAACCCGTGGCTGGGACGAGGCAAGCCTCCTTTCCACAGCCCAATTCCAAAAATCAGTTTAATATATGAGCTGCTCAATGAGCAGCGTATCAGATATTAAGCTGATAAGAACAGATTTTTTTTTTTTTTTTTTATAAAAACCACATACTTTATTCACTTATAAACTCGCTATGTACAGAAGAAACAACTACTACCTAAAGTTATACAAAGTGGAATTATACTAGAAACAGAAGACAAGAATATCGTTGCGAATGATGCAGAAGCCTGGGTCTACCCAGGTGCGCACGAATTTCTCCCGAGGGAGGCGGTGAAAGTCTAATTTCACCCTTCCCTTGATAGAATGGAGCGCGTACTTAATGAGCGCGGAAGCATCTTCGCGACCGTTGTAAAAAGTGCTCTTATTGCGAAACATCCAGACTGAGTAAACGATATTCTTAATAATAAAACGCGCGATAAGACTCTTTTTAGGATCACATTGAAAGGCGAAGAAGAAAATAGTAAGCAGATTAACAAGGAATCGAGAACCAGTTACAGCGGAAAGGAGGGGACGAAAGTGAGCCCAGACTCTTTTAGCACGAGGACAGTTAAGAAAACAATGATCAATTGTCTCCCTCCGGCCGCATACCGCACACTGACTAGAACGTATATATCCCCAACGGTACAAAGCATCGCGAACTTTGATACCCCGAAGGGTTATTAACCAGAAAAGATCATTAACGCGATTATCACACAGGGAGTCCCTCACCTTGGCCCAGTGATCGCGAAGCGAGAAGCCTGGGCCGAGGAAGGGGACCCATGCGCGGTGTAGAGAAGGCGGAGAAAAGTTTTTGTTTAGCGCGTTATAAATAGCCTTAGTAGTAAGCGGAACGAAAGTTAAGTCTAGGCGCGATAAAGTCGATATACAAGAAGAGTAAAAGCTAGTAGGATTAAATGAATGAGGCGAAGAATTATCTCTTAGAGGCAACCATTGAGGAAGAAAACGAGCTAGGTGCCACCCGGCAAAATACTTACACAAAAAGAAACTTTTATCATCTGGATCGTTAAGAGTAGCCACGAGAGACGAAACGCGTAAAGCTTCACATTTACGAGGAAAATTGGTGAGGCCGAGACCTCCTTCAGGAACACTACAAGAACACGATTTACGAGAAACAGTTTCGATTTTCGAGCCCCATATAAAGGGCCAGATAAGCTGGTTGACTCTACGAGATACCCATTCAGGAAGTAAAAGAACGCGCGCTAGATAATAGAATTTACTAAGACCGATTACATTAACAATGAGACATTTACCTAATAAAGAGAGAGAACGAGATTTCCACAAATTAATCGATTTTTCAAGCTTAGTTAACTTAGATGACCAATTATCTTGTTCAACTGGGATAACTCCGAACCATACCCCTAACACCTTCATTTTCTTAACCCATGTGAGGCCAAGCGGCTCGTCCGCGCGCGATCTCCACGCGCCGAGCCACATGGCCTCAGTCTTGGAACGATTTAATTTTGCACCCGACCCTCTCTCATAAATAGAAACTAAATTAAATAATTGTACTAAAGAAGAAACATTTTTAAGAAAGGTGGTTGTGTCGTCTGCATACTGGCGGACACGGAAATGCGCGCCACCAGAACCTGGTAAAAGAAACCCAGAAATAAAAGGAGAAGAACGAATTTGAGAGGCCAAGACCTCTACACACAAAACATAAAGTAAGGGAGAGAGAGGGTCGCCTTGGCGAACACCTCTCTTTAATTCGATTTTGCCAGAAAGATATCCGTTAAGAATGATACGCATGTTTGCACCAGTGTAAAGTGTGTGAACCCATTTAACGAAGCTAGGTCCGAAGCCTAAATGCTCTAGGAGGCGGAATAAAAAAGAATGATTTACACGATCGAAAGCCTTTTCTTGATCTAAACTAACAAGAATACCAGATTCATTCGTCCGCTCAATATAATCTAGAACATCGCGTAATAAGGTGACATTAGAGGTAATCGAGCGACCAGGAACAGAACAGGTCTGATCCGGGTCAACAAGGCTACCCAAAACACGAGATAACCGCAAGGTAATAACCTTAGACAAAATTTTATAATCGGTGTTTAAAAGTGAGATAGGTCTCCAATTCTTTAAATCTTTAACGTCACCGCGTTTTTTAAAAATCAAGCGCGTTACACTGGTTTGCAAGGATTCAGGTAAGCATTCCTCTGTGAAGCAGAAATTATACAAACGACACAACAAAGGAGCTAAGAGATGCCAAAATTTTAAGTAAAATTCTAAAGTAAACCCATCGGGTCCGGGAGATTTATTTGGGGATAAACTTTTAACGGATTCGGCGAGTTCTTCAAGAGAAATAGGCCCGTCGCAAGAAAAAGATTCATCAGGAGTAAGCTTAGTATTCAGTTGAAAAAATAAATGTTGTTGACAGGCCATGTCAACAGGTTCTTCAGAAAACAATTGAGTGTAAAACTCCACGTGCACTCGGTCAAGGTCAGCACGGGAGGTAACCTCATTACCATTTGAATCATGCATGGAAATTACGCGATTTTTCTCAATTCGTTCTCGTTCTAAACGGAAAAAATACCGAGTAGGCTTTTCGCCTTCTTCGATCCAACGGGCCCTACTTCTCGTCTTAACTCCATCAATTTCTAAACTAAATAAAGCAAAAAGGCGAGCTTCCAAGGCGATGATCTCAGCCGAGACTGAGGCATCACCTTGAATTAAGAGTTGTTTACATAGAATTAAGCGGTTTGTCAAAGTAACCTTCTCACGATTTAATTCGGTACGTTTTTGCTTAGCAAAATTTATACACTCCTCCTTAAGACTGAGCTTAAGAAACTCCCACCAATTTTTAAGTGAAGAAAATCGGGAAATACAATTAGCTAAATCTGAAATACGGGACGATAAGTGGTCGCAAAAATCGGCGTCGGCTAGCAAAGAGTTATTGAATTTCCATAAACCGGGGCCTTGGGGGGAAAATTGAGAAAGATCGATCACAAGATCAACGAGGTCATGATCGGAAAAACAACACGGACGAATAGATGAGGAGGAAATAAACTGTACAAGATCAGAAGAAACATAAAATTTATCCAGGCGACTAGCTATAGAGAAATCGGAATTAAACCAGGTGAACTCGCGTGACTTAGGGTGTTGTTTACGCCAGATATCAATTAAGTGAAAATGCTCTTTGAAATCTGAAATAGCGCGACAAATAGAAATATTACCACCGAATTTATCCAGATCACTAACGTAACCGTTAAAATCGCCGCAAATAATAGTGCTACCTGCCGGGATAAAAAATTCATGCAGATTTTCAAAAAAAGATTTACGTTCAGTCGGATTAGTAGGAGCGTAAATACCAAGAAGGTTAATTTGACAGCCAGAAAAATCAATTAAAAAACTAAGAACACGACCGCTTGAATCTTTACGCCACGAAAGACATTTACCCTCGAATGAAGGGTGAAAAAGAGCGCAAATCCCGCCCTGTCTACCTATGGCAGGGGACCAGAAACTAGGTCCGGACCAGCGAGCAGACAGGGACTTAATCTGCTGATCAGTAGAAATAAGCGACTCCTGAAAAAACGCGATATCATAGTTTGCACGCACAAGATCAAAGATCAGATCGGCTTTGCGATCAAAACCCCGAGAATTTAAGGTCACTATCTTGAAATTGAAGGCGTAAAAATTCAAGTGACCGGCCCAGGATCGTTACCGTGATCAGAAGAAGTAGAAGGGGAAGCAGACAGGGAATCCGCGGAAACCGCGGATAAGTCCCTAGCCGCTCTCCCTGACGGCACAGGAGTTGGATGAGTGGCCCTCCTGTGCAGGGCCAATAGGGGCTCCGGCATCGGAGCTGGATGGCGTCGGGACGAACGGCGACCAGAGCGCATCGGCCCGAAGCCAGACTGTTCCTGCTGGATAGGGGGGTCCGGGGGGACTGTCGGTTCTGCGGTCGGCTCGGCCTCCGTAGAGGAAAATAAGGGCTGGGATTCCTCAGTATGGTCAGCGGCTTCCTTCTCGGCCACAGCATCGTCATAGTCATCATCATCGTCATCGTCATCATCATCGTCGTTAACATCATTACCATCCTCACTACCCTCCTCACTACCATCATCATTATCATTATCGTCATCAGAGCTCATATCGTCATCATCGTCAGCACCAGCATTAGTGTCATCCTCAGCGGGGGTTGAGTTGTCAGGGGGGTCATCGGGGGGGATAGAGAAGGCATCCAAGCTGTCATCACTGCCAAAGAGGCTACGTAAAATTACCAGCCCCTGTGAGTCCAGGATATCCGAGTCATCCGGTGAGGGGGGGGACAGCACCGGGGGGGGTACTTCTGCGGATGAAGATTCTTGCCTCGGTTCTTCGCGGGCCTGTTCTTGGTCGCGTATCTGCTCTTGTTGCTCTTGTTCCTGAGCAGGGGATGAGGGGGGTGAAGACTGTCTGTACCAAGAGTAAGGGCAGAAACGCGCACGA